TCCGTCGCCGTCGCCGTCGCCGCCGCGCGCGCGCGCATCGTCGCTCGCGGCGTCGGTCGTCGCGGCGTCTGCCGGTGTCGCCGCGTCCGCCCGGACGTCCGACCAGGCGCCGTGGAGCGTAGTCGCAGGAGGCGCAGGCGACGACAAGCCTGGGCGATCGGGAACGACGTCGCCCTGCTCGGCCACCGCCTCCTTCAACGCAGTGGCCGCGTGCGCGTCTCGCCGTCGCACTTCAGCGAGGGAGGACGATCGGACGGCGCGATGGCGATCTGGCGGCGTTGGTGGCGCGGCGCGGCGACTCAGCGGCATCGCGTTCGGCCTCTCCGAGAAACGGTAGGGTACCCTACAACGGCGGAGACGGAATGGGCCAGGAACGTGAAAGATTACATAATCTTTCAAAGATTACATAATCTTTCAGTACGAGTACGAGTACGTGGACGTATGATATTTAGTCAGGTTTTCGGAGAAAAACGCGGAAGGAGATCCGACTCGCATTCGTATGGGCATTTCAGTCAGAGAGGAGCCTTCCGGAGGTGTAATTTTTACCTGAAGCTGCTTTTTTTTCGCTAAAAGTGAAACCACCCCCTTTCCAGCGCCATTTCCGCTGATTTCTCCGCAGTAAATGACATCATATTCTTACAGCTTACGACGTTCGACGATATGTAGAGCAACTCTTCTCAGCATGACGTTCCAATCCGGGGTCTTCCGGGGACGCCATGACCGCGCAAACACGCGCCTTTTAGAACGGTGCAAAAAATACATCTCGAGAACCAAAAAAAATTTCACCTGCGAAATTTCGCCAGAGCACACAATAGAAACTCTGGCCTTCGCTACGGAAGCGCCAGCAACATCGCATTCTTCATCGTAACCGATGTCATATTCTAGTCGAAATCGACGCATCATGTCATGATAAACGATTCTTCTCACTTCAACCATGCCGTTTACGTCCATACAGCGACGCCATGGTCGCGCAAACACGCGGACATGACACTGCAAAAAAAAAAAATCGGGCGATATTTTGACGCGAAGGGCCCGCGCGCTGAATACGACAAGGGCGGCGCAGGACCGTCGCAAATGACATCGCGATAGTGAGAGAAAGTGTTCCCAATACCATGATGACGCCGTTCGTGCAATAATATAACACCACTTACTGTCAAGAAAAAGACATCGTCGGCGCTCGAAGTGCGCGAGGTAGTCTGAAATGGGCTTGACGGAACGAGCTTCTCGACGAGAATCGTATGGGTATTTCAGTCTGCGCCGCGCGGTCTTCGGAAAAATTACATCTCCGGAAGGCTCCTCTCTGACTGAAATGCCCATACGAATGCGAGTCGGATCTCCTTCCGCTTTTTTCTCCGAAAACCTGTATGTACTCTAGTGTGTCCGCGTACAAACTACTCGTACTGAAAGATTATGTAATCTTTCACGTTCCTGGCCCATTCCGTCTCCGCCCCCTACAACGGACCCTAAACCTGACGTGGACCGCGTCGCTCGTCGTCGTCGCTTCCGAGGACCGCCGCGGAGGGGACGGATCGGTCCCCGCGTCGTTCTCGACGAGGACCGATCGACAACTGGCGTGATCGCGCGACGGGCGTCGCTTCGCGCGAGCGGGCGAGGCGCCGAATCTCGTCGACAGTGACCTGAGGCACCACGCGAGCGCGTGATCAGGGCGAACACCATCACGCGTGAGCGCGCGCAACGGCGGCTGGGTGGATTCGGTTCTCTCGTCTCGAGCCAAGTTTGGCAACGCGCGTGTCGGAGCTCGTCGTTGACGTGGGGTCTACAAAAGTTTTTCACCCATCGCCTGGTTTCAACATTTGATCGCTCCCCCTTTCAACTGACCGGTGAACTTTTTTTGTATGGAATGGCCCGCCTGAGTGGCAAAAGAATGCGTTCCCCCCCCTCTCCATCGCACAACGACGACGCGCGGCGGCCGCGGCGCGTCATGACGCAGCTCGCGAACCTCGCGCCGGGCCACCGCGAAACGAGACCGCACGTCCTCGCGGAGGCGCAGGTCCGAAGGGACGCGAACGACCGCGCGCGCGTCGCCTTCAACGCGCGCGCGGAGAAGGCGAAGGAGAGAACTACCGCGGAAGACGCGAAATGCGACGACGGACGAGACGCAGACGCGGCGCGACGACCGCGGCGGCAGCGCGCGAGCACGTCCAATCCGAACGACGCGGGCGCCCTCCCGGGCGTACGGGAGACGACCGACGACGACGTCGCGGGCGCCGCACATCTCGCGGTCGCGTCCACGCTCGCCGCGAAGGGCCGCGTCGCGGAGGCGGAGTGCGTCCTGTTCAACGTCCTTCGCGCGCGCCCGAACGACGCGGGCGCGCGATGGCTGCTGCGTCAGATCCGCGAACCGAGCGGCGCGGTCCCGGGGAGGGGGCCGCCGAAGACGAAGGCGACGCCGAAACCGCCGCAACCCGAGCCGGAGGTGCCGCTCGAGGAGCTCTTCGCGCGGTTGAAGGGCGCGCCGGAGCCGCCGGGAGGCCGTCGAGTCGCAGAGCTGATGAAACGTCTCGACCGCGAGATGGGCGAGCGTGAGACGCCGATGCTCGTCGGCGTCGGGCCCGCGCCGCGGATGGACCTCGGGCCCGTGCGCGGCCGCCCCGCGGCGGGCGCGAGCGTCGTGACGCTGAGCGACCTCGACGACGAGCTCGCGAAGAAGAAAGCGCGGCTGGCGGAGGAGCGGCGGCGGGACATGGAGGTGCGTTCTGATTCGCGCGGGTCCCCGCGCGAGGACTTTTCCCGGTGATTGCGAGTCTCTCCGCCCGCCGCCGCTCGCTTTCAATCCCGACGCGCACACCTCGACGAAGGCCTTTCAACTCCGCTTCTGACGCCTTTGAATTCCACCCCGACGTTCCGTTCGCTAAATGTGTGGACGTGCAGTTCGACGCGCGCGTGGCCGCGGATGAACGCGCGGCGATCGCGAGGGAGGACGCCGCCGCCGCCGACGCCAAACGGCGCGCGACGCGGGAGCAAAAGTTTGGCCTCGACGCGCAGCAGAGGGTGGACCGCGAGCGGCGCGATCAGCTCTGGGCGGAGGAGAAGAGGAAGGGGCTGGAGGCGACACGCGGGGGGCGGGAGTCTTCTGAGAAGACTGAGGTTGGCAGAGGGAGCGTCGCCGTCATCGGCGGGGAGGAGATGGCGCCGCGGGGGAAAAAGACGCGCGAGCCGCCGAAGCGGAGGGCGCTCGCGCCGTTCGCGTTCAGGCGGTAGAAGAGGCGGGCCCTTCGCGTTCGTTCGCGGCTGATACGACAGAGAGTACAACAGCGTATTTATTATAAACAACAACAACGTGATAGGTCGAATCGAGTCGTCCCCTGCTTCCTTCACGACGTCGCGTCGCTCGCTTCGGAGGAGGAGTCGCCCGACGCGTCGTCGTCTGATGACGACGACGATGTCGCGTCTCCCTCCTCGTCGTCGTCGTCGTCGCTCTCGTCGTCGTCGAGCTCGATCTTCTGACGCAACACCTGCGCATACTGCGCGACGATCGCGTCGTTCGGCGCCAGCGCCGCGACTGCGAAGAGAGAGAGAGAGAGAGAGGCGCGCGGGGTGTCATCAGCGCGAGCGGAGGGAAGGGCGCGGGGAAGGACGACGGACTGCCTCTGGGAGACTGCGAGACGTCGACGCACGTTCGTCGCACGTCGCGAGCGCGTCTTCGTATCGCCCCGCCTTGACGTGCTCCACGAGCGCCTGCTTCATCTCCACGATGCGCTTCGCGCTCGCGGACGGCGCGGACGGCGCGCCGTCGTCCGCGCGCGCGGCCGTCGTCGCCGCCATCCGGGGAGTGCCTGGATGTCACCGTTTGGTTTCGTGAGCACTTAATTTTTTTCTCCGGCGCGGCGTCCGTTCGCGTAGTACGTACGCGCTCGCTGCGTATGCGCAATTAGTCATCGGAGCACCGAATCTTGCCGCCGGCCAACCAGAACGTCGCGCTCGACGCCAGTTGGAAAGCGAACGACCGCGGACCGCGACCGCCAACCGGCGGATGCGAACGAACGCCGCGCGTGTCATCTCCGCGCGCGCTTCTCACGGTACCGACCACGATGGCTGCCACCGCGCTCGGTCAGAGCGTCTTCCTGGGGGTCGCCCCCCGCGTCGCCGCCAAGGTGCGCGTCCGCCGTCGGACCACGTCGCAGCGCCGCGCGTCGCCCCCGCGCGCGGCTCGTTTATCCGGATCTCGAAACGCAATCGGAACGATCGAAACTCCGAGCGACCCCGCGTCCATCTCCTGACGCCGCGTCCTCCACCCTATCCGCAGGCGCCGAAGCGCGGCCGGAAAGCCTCGCCCGCGCCCGCCGCCGCCGCCGCCGACCTTCGCGGCGACGACGGCGACGACGCGCGAGCGACGACGACGACGACGCGCGTTCTCAAGACCGCGTCCGTCGCGCTCGGCGTCTCGCTCCTCCTCGATCAGTCCTCCGCGGGCCCCGCGCACGCGGTCACCGCGCGCCTCGAGGGCACGGAGACCGCGCGCGTCCTCGAGGCGGCCGCGGACGTGAAGAAGGGGAAGAAGCCCTCCTCTCCCGCGACCGCGCCGGCGACAACGGTGAAGCGCGCCGTCCCCGCCTCCGCGGGCGGCCGCGCCGTCCCCGGCGTGCGCGCGTCGTCGGCGGCGCTGCCGGAGGTGAAGTACGAGGTTCCCGCGCCGGTGAAGAAGAGCGCGGCGTCGTCGAAGGCGGTCGTCGCGTCGGACCCGGTCGCGGACTTTTACGCGACGTACGACGTCCCGGTCGCGAAGCCGGTGACGAAGGCGGTCGCGACCATGCCGGTCGCGGCGCCCGCGGCCGCGCCGAAGAAGGCGGCGGCACCGACGCCCTCGAAGCCGAAGCCGTCGTCGTCGTCGTCGTCGTCGAAGGCGTACTCGAGCGCGCAGGTCGTGAAGACCGCGCCGATCCCGAAGACCGCCGGTCAGTCGTCGACCGCGAAGGTGTCCGGCAAGGCGGCGAAGGCGAACCTCGCGGAGCTCAAGGTGGAAGCCCCCGAGGCGACGAAGGGCGCGAAGCGAGGGATGCAACTCAGCAAGGAGAAGCCGAAGACGCGTCTGGAGAAGATCGCCGCCGGCGGCGGCCTCGCGGCGCTCGGGTTCGGCGCCGCGAAGGCGGGTGCGGGAGGCGCCGCGAAGGGCGCGGGCGCGAAAGCCGCCGTCGGCGCCACCGTCGTCGACGCGTACGAAGCCGCCGCGGTCGTCGTCGCCGGAGGGGCGGTCTCCGGCGTCGGGAACTCGGTGATCGCGCGAAACTCGCGCGTGCGGAACGTGCGGAAGACGCCGGACGGGGAGCTGCCGCTGCCGATTCAGACCGCGCTCGCGCTGTCGATCCCGGCGTCGTTCGCGTTCACGATCTTCCAGGTGCTCCAGTCGCTCTGATGATAAGGCTTAGACTTTTTTTTAACAACAGAACACCGCACCGACGGACGCGAGAGAAGTACGGAAGTACCTACAGTAATACCCTCATCTCGCGGCGTCGCCTCGTCAGTCGCTCGCTCGCGCTCGCGTCGCCCCCGCGTTCTCCGCGTCGCCGCCCCCCGCCCCAACCCCCGTCGTCGTCGTCACCACCACCGAACTCTGCCCGCCCTCCAGCGCGCGCCAGAACGACGCGCGGCGCGTCGCGCCCCCCCGCCCTCTCGCGAACGCGCCCAAACACGCGCTCGTGCACGTCGTGCTCCCGGGCTTCTCCACCCCGCGCGCGATCATGCACAGGTGCGACGCGCGCGCGACGACCATCACGCCCGCGGCGTTCGTGAGCTCTCTGATCTCCCTCGCGACGTCGCGCGTGAGCCGCTCCTGGACTTGAAGTCGGCGGCCGTGCCGCGCGACGACGGATTCGAGGACGTCGCGCGACGGCGCGCGCGCGCCCGATCCGGAGTTCGCCGTGATGATCGCGACGTGCACCGCGCCGTGGAACGGCAGGAGGTGGTGCTCGCAGAGCGTCGCGAGCGGGACGTCGCGCTCGATCGTCATCGTCGTCGTCGTCGTCGTCGTCGTCGTCGCGGCGGCGGCGGGGGAGGTTTCCGGTTTCGTCGCGCCGTCGCCGTCGCCGACGCCGACGCCGCGTTTCCGCTTCTTCGCCGCCTCGCCCTTCCCTCCGTTGCCCAGCCGCGGCATGCCGTGCCCCGCCCTCGACGCGGCCATCAAGTCCGCGTACTTCCGCGCGGTCGCGACCAGCTTCGCCTCCGACATCGACGCGGACCCCCCTCCCGGCGGTCGCTTGTCCAACCCGAGCGCGCGCATCATGCGCTCGACAGCGTGCGCCGCCGCCGCGGGCGCGATCGGGATCGGCGGCGGCGTCTCGACGTCGCTCCCCCTCCCCCTCCCGCTCCCGCCGTCGACGTCCTGCTCCTCGCAGGACGCGTTCGACGCGGACGGCGACGACCCGCGGTCGGACGCGTCGCCGTCGACGGTCGCAGCGCCGGTCGCCAGGTCTTCTTCTCCGTTTTCGTTTTCGTTTTCGTCATCGTCATCGTTTTCGTTTCCGTTTTCGTTCGGTTCCCCCGTCACGTCCGCGGCGGTCGCCGTCGACGCGCTCGTCCACGCCTCGTCGTCGCCGTCGCCGCCTGGATGGCTTCTCGGCGTGAGGCACCCGCAGCTCTCGTCGGGATAATATCTCGTCGCGGCGATTCGATCCGCGAACCGCCTCGACGCGAGCGACGATTCGATCCGCGCCCCGCCGCCGCCGCCGCGCAACCCGACGCCGGGCCCGACGCCGCGTCCCACGCTCGCGCCGAGCATCGCCTCGAACTCCTCGCGATACCCCTCCGCGTCGCCGTCCTCGCCGTCGTCGACGAAGCACCCGAGCGCGGCGGCGCCGACGCGCCGCGATGGACCGAACGGCCCCATCTGCGATCCCTCGAGGAACACCGACACCCCGCGCGGGGACGCGCCGGCGTCGAGCGCTTCCGCGACGTCGCGCGCGAGACGCGACGGCGTCTGCACGCGCCGCGCGAACACCTCCGCGACTCTCGCCACCTTGGACAGCCCCACGATGACGCCGTCTCTCGGGACGTATCCGACGTGGCATCGCCCGTAGAACGGCATGAGGTCGTCCTCGGACGTGCTGAAGAACGGGATGTCTCTGACGACGACGACCCCCGCGCGCGATCGCCCGCGCGCGTCGTCGTCGTCGTCGTCGTCGTCATCCTCCTCCTCCCCCCCGTCCTCCTCCGCTCCCCTCTCAAATCCTCCCGCCGCGGCCGCCTCCCTCTCCTGGTCCTCGCGGAGTCCCGGCTCGTTGAACAGCGCGGACCCGACGGCGTCGACCGCGCTCATCGCGTAGCCGCGCGTCGCGAACGCCAGCGCCTTCGCCACGCGCTTCGGCGTGTCGCGCAGGCCCTCGCGCTCGACGTCCTCCCCGAGCGCGCGGAGCATGTCGCGCACCGCGCGCTCGAGCTCGCGCGCGTCGACGATCGCCGCCGCTCCGTCGGCGTCGGCGTCGGCGTCGGGCGCGCGATCGGTCGTCATCGTCGTCGTCGTCGCGCGCCGCGCCCCGCGCGCGATCGGCGAGTGATGACGGTTCTCGGACGACGCCTCGCGCGGTGCGCGCGCGGTCGCCGCCGGCGCGGCGCTGAGCCGCACAGTTCGTCGTACTACGTTTTGGCGACTACTCTGACTGATCGCGCGTTGGTGTCGCGAATGGATTTTCGGGCCTCTCAAACACGCGCTTTCTGAGCCAACGATGAAACCATCGATAACAGTCGATCCGATCGGACACACGTCGGAGGCTTTCATTCGCATCCTCGCGCGACGCAGAGGACGAGGATGTCCACGACCGCTGAGGACGCGACGATGGTGCGTCCCGCGACGTTCGCGCGCGCCTCTGTCTTCTCCTCCTCCCCCCGCGGCAGGCAGCGCCCTCGACGGGCGCATCTCGTCGAACGCCAAGATATCATCATCGAAAAATCATCTCATCCAATATTTTGTTTCCTCCGACACCGCCCTCATCGTCCGCCCCGTTCCCTCCTCTCATCCCCGCAGGACGTCGAGGCGCCGCCGACGCCGTCCGCGGACGCCGCCGTCGCGGCGAACGACGCGAACGCGAACGCGAACGACACGATCACCCCGCGCGACCCTCTCCTCGCCTCCGACGCCTCCAAGCTCTCCATGCGAACGTCGCCGTCGGCGTTCGCGGGCGAGAGAGCGTCGATGCAGAGGTCGCAATTCGGCGAGCAGGTGGAGGCGGGGAAGCGCACGTCCCCGTCCGTCGGGTTCGCGACCGCGTCCAGGTTCCCCTGGCTCGAGAAGCCGGACTCCCCGAAAGCGCCGCGGCCGCCGTCGTACGCGGTCCCGGGGCCGGGCGCCTACGCGCCCGCCGCCGCCGTCGGGGATCAGGCGCGTTCTGATCGATTGATTCATCACGCCGGTTCCCGTACGACCGCGTTCACACTGGTCCCCATACGACCGCGTCGCCGTGGTGAACGCCGTTCCTTAAGGACTTTCTCTCCCGGCGGTCATTTCTCTCCGCACAGGGTCCCTCGCTTTCAATCCCGACACACCGCGATGCCTTTCAACTCCGCTTCTGACGCCTTTCGACTCCACCCCGACGTCGCTTCGAACGACGCTTTGAACGACCCGCCGCAGATCCTCGCCGAGCGTCGCACGTGCCCGCGCGCGGCGTTCGGCAAGGCGCATCGATTCGCGACCGCGCCGAAGCGCAATCGCGCGCCGGACCCGGGGACGTACCCTCTGCCGCCGTCGCTCGGGAAGCAGCCGGACAGCACCAAAGAGACCGGCGCGACGATCTCGTTCACGCGCGGGAGTCGAGAGGTGTCGTCGGGCGCGGTGGAAGCCGGGAGAGACGCGCCGCCGTCGACGCGGTACACGCTGAAGGATTCGCTCACGAACTCGCCGTACAAGTCGATCGCGTTCACGCGAGACAAGCGCGCGATAGGCGACGGCGCGAAGAAGCGCGCGGACGAGCGCGACGGCGGCTCCGGGCCCGGACCCGGCGCGTTTCGAGCGGAGCGCTCCGTCGGTCCGCAGACGCGCAGCGGCCGGCGGCGCGCGCCGTCCGCGTCGTTCGGGACGTGCTACCGCGACCAGGCCGCGAAGGCGAGCTTGAGTCGCGAGCAGGCGAGCGCGATCTTGGGAGGGAGGATGGGGCCGGGGCCCGCGGTCGAGCCCCCGGGACCGGGCGGACTCGGCGCGCAGGTCCGTCGGCGGATCGATCGATCGTTCGCGAACTCGTTTCATCGTTTTCTTCCAGTCTCTCGCTTTCACTCTGGTCGCGTTCATCGACCGAGAATCGACCGCGACGCCGATCGACTGACCGATCAACTTTTCTTTACACACCGTACGCACGCGCTACAGATTCGCAGCGCCAGGAGGAGCGCGCCGTCCGTCGGGTTCACGAGAGGGAAGCGTTTCGGGAAGGGCGAGGACGCGGGCAAGGTCGACACCCCGGGGCCGGGGTCGTACCGATGCTGAGGAAAAAAACGCGTCGGTCGCCGGCCGCGAGGCACCGCGTGTATGTATAAGTAGAGACGTTTTGATCGATCGTCGTCATCACAAGAAAGTCATCAAATCGTCGCACCCGCTATCTTCTCCATCCTCCCCGCCGTTCTAACAACGCAAATCGACGATCAGAACGCGAGGCGCGTGAAGAACCACCGGCTCTTGCCCGTCTTGAACCGCTCCTCCAAAACCTTCTTCGCCTCCTTCCTCGCCGCGACCTTCTTCGTCGCGTTGTCCAGAACGTCGGGGGTCACCGTCGTCTTCAGGTCCACGTCCAGCGTGTACCGCGTCGGCATGAGGTGGTTGTAGTTCACCGTCTTGATGAACGTCTTCACGCGCGAGTGCTTGTCCTGCTGCTTCTTCGTCTGCTTCTTCGTGACCTAGAGAAGACGAGAGTAGGATGGACGGACGGACGGCGGTCAGAAGACGAACGACGGTACGCGCGAGCGAACGAAATGAAACGAAATGAACGCTGCGCTGCTAGGGTTTCTCGTCGGTCGCTCGCGCGGCGACGACGGACGGACCGCGCGCGACGCGCGCGACGACGCGACGGCGCGAGGAGACGTCGCGATCGTCGGACGCGCGCGCGTCGCGAGCGCGCGCGTCGAGAGGAGGGTCGACGCGCGCGCGCGCGACGCGAGGCGCGCCGTCTTCCGTCGCGGCGATGCGCGCGCGTTTCGTCTCCATCCGTCGTCGTCGCGGGCGCGAGAAAAAAACACATCTGCCGAGCGTTCACGCACCTTGCGGGGATACGTGCTAAGACCGCAGACGAGCGCGTGCCCGTACGGGCGGGAGGAGGTGCCCTCGTCGTAGTTCTTGACGATGACGGCCTTCTTGCCCGCGTAGCGGCCGTTGAGGACCACGACGACCTTGTTCGCCTGAGGAGGACGCGGCGCGGGAAATCGTAGACGGTGAGCGCGAGCGAGTCGTGAATGGAATGGACGACGGCGAGGACGGATCTTCGCGCGCGGCGGACGGCGCCGCGCGGCGTCGCGAGCGCGGAGACGAGCGAGGATACGACGCGCACCTTGAGGAACTTCACCATCCTGAAGTCTGTCGCAACGACGTGCTGTCGAGCGTCGCGTAAAGAGGGAGCGAGCGCGCGTCCTTCGCGGCTTAAGTACACGGCGAAATAATAGGGCTTGAGCGCTCCGCTCGGTCTGGTCACTCGGTCGGCCGCGGCAGTGGCGACAGGCAGCTGCCGGATGCGATCGCGCTCAGGCAACAACGAACCGAGGTTCGGCCTCCGACAACTACAACAGCGCGGCACTCCCCCCATGCGCGCCGGGGCGGCGTCCGCGGTCGACGTCGCCGCGACGCGTCCACCGCGCGTCGTCGCTCGCGGGTCGCGCGCGGCTCCGCGCGCGTCGCCGCCGCGGCCGATGTCGCGCCCGGCGGCGCCGACGTCGCCGCTCAGCCCCGAGGTCGCGGAGATGTTGCTTCGGTTCGACGACGACGACGACGACGACGACGACGAGACGACGGCGTGGCGGTTCGAGGAAGACACCGGCGCGATCGACTGGAGACGCGCGCCTCCGTGCCCGCCTCCCTCGAGCGCGTCATCGCGGACCGTCGCGCGGTCGGAGCCCGCGAGGGCGCTTCGACGCCTCGCGACCGTCTCGCTGCGTCGCGTCGCGCGCGGCGAGCTGCGATCGCGAGCCGACGACGAAGCCGCGCACGGACCGCTCCTCGAGCGCCTCCACCGCGACCTCCGCGCCATCGCGAACGACGAGAAGGAGGAGGAGGAGGAGGAGGAGGAGGAGGAATTGGACGACGCGCCCGCGGCCGCTCCCCGACGGCGGCGACGCCGCTCCTCGTACGTGATCCTAGCCCTGAGCCTCGCGATCCTGGAACGACGCGTCGCGGACCTCTACGTCGCCGACGGCGCGCGGTCGCCGCTGCTGTCCGAGGTGCTGGCGTCGTCGCGCGTCGCGGAGGCGCTGACGACGCGTGCTGACGTGGAAGATGACGTGGAAGATGACGTGGACGCGACGTGGCCGCTTCGAATGGCGCTGGACCCGCGGTGCTTGAACCTTCGAAACGTGACGTGGCACGGGTTCCTCCTCCCCGCGGACGCGCGGCCGGAGCTCGCGGCGTTGGCGCTGACGCTCGCGGCGTCGATACCGCCGCCGCGAGGACGAGGACGACGCGGAGGAGGTTTGAATTCAAAAACGACAGCGACAGACGGCGGCGACGGGACGCGCGATCTCGAGCGATGCGAACGCGAACTCCTCGCGCGCGCGCCGTCGCTCGGCGGCTCGGCGATCGCCGACGCCGACGCCGCCGAACGCGCGCGGCGCGTCGTGGCGCGCTCGAGCTTCCTGCCCCCCGGGTGGCGCGCGCCCGCGGGCGACGCGATCGAGGACCTCCTGCGCGACGGCGACGACGCTTCGTTCGTCGCCGTCGTCGCCGTCGCCGTGGAAGCGGCGCTGCGCGCGACGTTCGCGAAGGTGCGTTGTTTTTATCAGACTGCGTCCCGTACGACCCCATTCGCGTGCTGTGGTGTACGTCGTTTCTTAAGGACTGACTTTCCACCCCGGTCGGTTTCAACGCTCGCTCGACCCAACCCACCCTACGCCGCCGTTCGACTGACCGGACAGCTCGACCGGACGTCCCCTATCGAAGGTGAACGACGACGAGAGCGTCCTCGTCGCGCGCGCGGGGGAATACTACGCGACCCTTGACGGGTTCGGGCGGACGCACGTGCACGACGTGCTCCTGCATCCGCTCCGACCCCTCCCGGCGAATAATGAGGGAGGAGGACTGAAAGGAAGCGCGAGGGAGAACGCGCTCCCGGCGTCGCTCCCGCCGAGCGTCCGCGCCGCGCTCGAAGACCTCTTCCTTCGCGATCGCGGACCGGGTCTGCGCGCGACGTTCGCGCACGGGTCCGTCGACCTCGCGCCGCGGCCGGAGGTGCGAGGCGGCGCGTGCGCGCGGCTGTTATTGTGCATCGCGCTGGAGATGTGCGCGCTGCATCCTCCCCTTGAAACTGAAACGTTCGACGACGAAGCGTTATCACGATGGCGCGAAGACGTCGAGCGACTGCGCGGCGTCGACGGCGCCGGCGGCGCGTTGCGCGGCTACGAGCCGGCGTTTCATCCCATCGCGCGCGCGAGAGCGTCGCTCGACGCGGCGGTCGCGGAGATGTCCGCGCGCGACGGCTCTGGCTCGGCCGCGCGGTTCGCGTTCGAGATCGTCCCGGCGAGCGCGGACGAAGATACGGTGACCGTGACGGTCGCGGCGCCCTCAGGGGGGGTCCGCGTCGCGTTCACGGAAAAGACGAGCAAGACGGGGTCCGCCGCCGCCGCGGACGAGCCCGTCGTCGCGAGCGCCCTGCGCGACGTCCTCGCCGCCGACGCCGACGCGGCGCCGACCGCGGCGCGGGAGATCGCGCGCGCGTTTCTTCTCGGGGAGACGGTGGCGGCGGCGGCGGCGGCGGCGGCGCCGAAGTACTCGCACCCGCCGCCGCCGCCGCCCGGCCCTTCGCCCGGGGCGGAGTGCCTTCGCGCCGCCGCGGACGAGATCGCCGCCGCGGCCGTCGCGTTCGACGCGCACGTCGATCGCCTCGCGCGCGCGGTGGAGACGCGGGAGGCGAGGAGCAACCACCGCAGACAGCTGTGCGCGCTCTCGCGCGCGCGAAGAACCGTGCGCGGCGGGCTGACGGCGGCGCTCGTCGCCGTCGAGGCGTTCATCGCGCACGACGCGGACGACGACGACGACGACTGGGCGCGACGGCGGTTGCTGTCGTACGTCGCGTCGGTTCGGAGCGCGTGCGCGCGAGGGCAGGGCGTCGACGCGGCGCGGGTCGCGGCGGGGTTTTGGCGGACGCGCGCGGGGAGAACGGTGATCCAGCGCGCGAAGCGAGCGAATTCGTCGCGTTGTCTCGCGACGAGCGAGCGAGTGAATGAAGAGATCGTCATGTTATCATTGACATAAGTAGCTCTAGGCGTAGCTAATAGACATATAAATGTGATAGATAGGTGGGTATATGGTAAGCGAACAGGGTAAATCAGTATAAGGTAAGGCGGTGCCCGCGCCGGCGTCGAGGCGTCGGCGCGGCCCCGCGTCGCGAATGCCACCGTCGCGCGACGGAGGCATTTAGGGTATGACAACACGATGCGTGGTGTCCTCATCACGGCGCCGCGGCGACCTCCTTCAGGAGCTTGAGGTTATCCGCGATGATCTTCGTGGACGGCGAGATCCGGTAGTTGATGTCGTTCGCCTTGGCCCACGCCTTCAAGATGGGCCGCAGCGCGTGGTACCGATACCGCGGCATCGTCGGAAACAGGTGATGCTCGAGCTGCGTGTCCATCCCACCCCAGATCCACGTCTCGAGCGGCCCGAACACCGTCTCCGCGTCGCGCGTCGAGCGGAACTGCCCTTCCACGTACTCCGCGCCTTCGCCGTACTCCATGATCTCCTCGCTCTGATGTGTCGCGCTCACGAGAGACGCGACGATGAACCCGGAGAGGAAGACGCTCCCGATCGCCACCTGCCACGGCATGCAAAACGCGAGCCACGCGTAGTTGGCGCCGAGCAGCACGAGCTCTTTCTTGTCCTTCCGCCTCCACGCGCTCTCCGCGCTGTGGAACCGCCACAGCCAGAACATGATCGACAGCAGCGGATACCCGAAGATGTGCTGGTACTTACGCAGCGGCGAGTCCGGTCGCCCCGACTCGCTCGGCGGCCGAAGGAAGAAAAACGGCTCCATCATCACGTCGTTGTCCATGTGCTCCTCGTTCGTGAACGTGTGGTGCATGCTGTGCTTTTGCGACCACCACTCCACGCCGTGGCCGTTCAACAGCGTCGGCATGTACCTCAAGGCCTCGCACAGCGGCCCGCGGCCGTGGACGTAATCGTGCCCGAGCCAGCCCGCCTGCACCATCCCGAGCCCGAGCAGCACCGTGGACATCACCGGGTTCGAGTACGCGAAGAACTGCCCGGCGGCGTACAGGCCCAGCACTTGCACGAGCGCCCACGTCTCTTTCAGCCAGTCGCGTTTGAAGAAGCCGTCCGCCTCGAGCTTCTTGCGGAACTCGCGGAAGCTCATGGACGCGGCGTACTCCGACGGCGTCGGCGTCTTGAGCTCCTTCTCCGGCGGCGGGTCGCACCTCGGGAGCTTCGCGAGCCTGTCCGCCGCCTTCGACGAGCCGTTCGGGCCGTACGAGTGGAGCGCGTAGAACGCGTCCGTGCCGTCGCGACCGTCGAAAAAGTGGATCCACCGTTCTCCCCCCGGGTGCGCCTTGGCCCACCCCGCGCAGTCGTACCACTGGTCGTCGATCTTGATTCGCACGGGCTCGCCCTTGGGCTTAATGTTGACCGGCTTCGCGGACTCCGCGCTGAGCGGGTTCGTGTTGTTCTTGATGACGACCTTCTCCTTCGGGGGTTCCGCGTCGCCGCTCGGGGCGGGATACGCGATCGAGGCGCGCACGCGCGTCGTCGTCTTCGAGACCGCCCTCGCGGACGCGCGGACGCGACGACGCGAGGAGGAGGAGGAGGAGGAGGACGCGGCGTCGGCGCGGACGGCGCCGGCGCAGAGCGCGGACGCGCTCATGCTGAGCGTGTGCGTCGCCATCGTGCGCGCGCGTTACTGCGATCGGCGAAGACGCGCGATCGGTTCAAAGGATCGCGATTCAACGACCGCGCGCGATTGTTTTCGCGTCGACGTCGACGACGTCGATGGAGACGGCGAGCGAGCGAGCGACTTCGGGGTCGTTCGACGCGGGAGCGCGCGCGCGATCCGCGGGAACGGAAAGCGTCGACGGAGACGGAGGCGTGTACGCACCGACCGCGAGGGCTGGGCGTGAGAGTGTGCTACCGGCGAGCGACGGCGCAGCCGGCTCCTTACCCGGCCACGTTTACGTTTCGCGCTAAACAACTTATCGTCAGCTCGCGAAGGGCTGTGATTGGTTGGCCGTTCCCACCACAAAAACGCATACGGAAACGAGTACGTTTTTACGTACTAGTACGCCGCGTCGCCTGAACTTTTCGAGGGGCACGCCGACGAGACGCGTTCGGCGATCTCCATTCGCCGCGAGGCATTGCGATCCGCGCGCGGCGTCGGCGTCGCGAGCGCGCGATCGCGTCGCGGCAGGTCGATCCCCGCGAGCTTCGCGACGCGCTCGCGCCGCGGAGGACGCGCGCGAGGACGCGCGCGCGCGCCGAGGACGGCCGATCGCGTCGCGCGATCGAAACGGATTAGGAATTAATCAGGAGGCGAGAAGAGGAGGGGGGGATTCGCGATGGCGCGCTCGGACGCGTTCCTTCGCCCGCCCGGGCACGCCGCGACGACGTACAGGTCCGACGTCACCGCGTTCAGGACCGCGAAAGTCCCGGAGGCGTCGATCGCGGCGCGACGCGCGGTCGCGTCGACGCGCGGCGCGGATCCCCTCGGGGTTCGACCGCGGCAGTGGCAGCAGACGACGTACGTGAATCAGCACGTCTTCACGCGCGCGAAAGCCTCGGACGCGCTCCTCGCGACCGCGCCCGGGAAGTTCGCGCCGTCGCGCTCGCAGCGGACGCTCACGGACGGCGCGCTCCTGAAGTCAACGTGGGGGACGAAGTCCGTCGCGTTCGCGAAGGAGCCGTTCGAGGGGGACTGGTGCGCGCGGACGAATTTGGAATCGCACGGTTTAGGCAACGCGCTCGATCGCGACCGCGAGACCGGGCTGAGACGCGTCACCGCCCGCGCGAAGAAGCACAGCGACCGCGTCACGAACGAGACGTTGCGGAGGAGCGGTAAGGTCTACGTCAACCCGATGGACGCGGAGCGCGAGAGGATGGCGACGATGCGCGACGCGAAGGCGAGAGGCGAGTGGCCGAGGGCGAGGTCGCCGGTCAGAGTGAGGGAGTGCACGCGTCGGAGCAAGACGCGACGCGCGGATCTGCAGGCGGTTCTGGATCTGGAGAAGTTCGAGCGGCGGGTCGTGTACGGCATCGTGTGATCGCCTGTGTTGTTTTTGTAGTGGTGACGAAATCGTAGCGGAGTAAACGAACGAGCCGTCGTCGCTGGAGGCGGGTTGATTTGATGGAACAATTCTCCCGCGAGAGACGAACAGTAACAGCGCGATTTATTTCCATCGCAATTCGCTCCCCGCCTCCCGCCATTCCCAGACCGCGCGCGCCTCTCGACATGGAGCCCGAAACCATGGACGGCGTCGTCGACGCGGCGCAGTATCCCGTGGACGCGGTCACCGCGGACGCGATGACGACGGACGTCGGACCGAAGGGCCTCGGCATGTCGTTAGACGATCTCGTTCGCGAGAGCAAACCGGCCGGTGGCGGGCGGGGCGGACGAGGACACAAAGGCGAGGGCGGACGGTTGAAAGTGCGCGCGGTGATCGTGAAGCGACCCGCGGGCGGCGGGAGAGGGTTCGGGGGAAGAGGTCCCGCGCCGCCGAGGAAGACGGTGCGCTCGATGGCGTTCATCGTTCGAGCGTCGGATCGATCGAACGTTCGCGCGTTCGTCGTTCGTTCGTTCGTTCGTTCGTTCGTTCGTTCGTTCGTGCATGATTGGATCGATCCCCGTCGTCGTTCCGTTCCGTCCCATCCATCTATCCCTCCAACCCTGACGCGTCTCTTCTCCGACGCGCGTTCGTTCGTTCCTTCGCAGCCCGGAAAGATCTACAAGCGCGACGACGGCGTCGTCGTCCTGCACATGTACGGCAAGGACGTCCTCGCGGCGAACAACCAGGGCGAAGTGACCCTCGACGCCGACGGCGACCGCGGGAAAAACACCTTCCTCGGCGTGCACGACGCGTTGTCCAGGTTCGGCTTCAAGCTCTCGCGTCCGAACCCGGCGGCGCCGGAGGAGTGGAGCGTCAGCGACGGGAAGAAGTTTCTGAAGCGGTACGAGGACGGGATGGTGATCCCCGCGCCCAAGCCGCCGGGACCGGGGCGGATGCTCGCGCTGTTGCAGACGGAGGTTCGCGCGGGGAGGCGCGTTTTATCTCACACTGGTCCCCGTACGACCGCGTCGGCGCGGTGAACGCCGATCCTTAAGGACTTTACTTCCCGGCGCATCTCTGCGCCCAGGGTCCCTCGCTTTCAATCCCGACACATCGCGACGCCTTTCAACTTCAACTGACGCCTTTTAACTCCACCCCGACATTCGCTCGCATGGACCCTCGACCCTCAGCGGCGGCGGACGCGGACGAGGCGGCGGAGGCTTCGGCGGGCGCGGACGAGGACGGGGATCGTCTTACTACTGATCGAAACGATCCCCGGGAAGGAGAGGAGAGGAGAATACGACGTCGTTTTTTGCGTTTGTGTTTTAACTACCTAAATCTGACGTCGTCGAAGCTGCTGCGCGTCCGCCGTCGCGGGTGGACGCGTTCGGTTTTTGGTTTTCGATTCCGTCGCGCCGAATGGCTCCGGGGGTCGAGCGCGCTCACCGATCCTCCTCCTCCGGGACCGTGCCTACCGCGAGGGTCGAACCGCGTGAACAGAGACTCAGATTAGTGACTATAAATTCAAAACAAACGCCCCCCGCGCGCGCGTTACGGTGCGCGCGCGCGGTCGTCGTCTCGTCTTCTCTAACGATGATGTGATGATGAATGGTCCGGGGGTCGAGAGGGTCATGTGTCTTCCAGGTCGTCCCCCTCACCGAACAGCGCGCGTTCCATCGCGTCGTCGTGCATCAACACCCGCGCGGCCGCGAGCTGCGCTTTCGTCCCGCTCGGACCCGAGGGCACGCACGCCGCGAGCGCTCGCATCGCGCCGCGCGCGCCCGCCGTCGCGCCGCCCGCCCCCCCGCCCGCGCCCGCGCCGCCGCCCGTCAGGAACGACCGCGTCGCCGAGTCCCTCGCTCCCGCGACGACGGATCGATTCGCCCCCGCCGCGCGCGACGCGGCGCCGTGCGCCGCGCGCGCGACGCTCGGCGGCGCGCACTGCACGCGCGACATCGCGCGGAAACACGCCATCGTCGCTCGGCGGCCCGCCATCGCGCGACGACGTGTGCGGACGGGCGGGGCGAGCTAGGGCAAACGGTGCGACGACGACGACGCGTCTGCGGTCGGCCGACGCGACGTGCAGTGCGATCGCGCGATCGAAGCTCGAGCAGTTTGAAATCTACTGTGGGCACACCTCAGTCCGCGCGACGTCCTCTCCCACACTCGTCGCGCGCGAGAGAGACGTCCACGCGCGCGCGCTCACGTCGCCAGCCAGCGAACGCCGCGACGTCATCGCGCGGACGTCTCGTCTGAGCCTCCGAGAGACGACGCGAACGAGACGCCGGGGCGCGGTCAGATCGCGTAAGAAGACTTTTATAGCGTAAGAAGACACGCAAAAAAAGTGAAACGATCGCGATGCTGTGGGTGGACAAGCATCGCCCGCACGCGCTCGACAAGTTCGCGCACGCGAACGTCTCGACCGCGGAGCACCTGAAGCGCCTCGTCGCGGACGGCGACTGCCCGCACTTGCTCTTCTACGGCGTCAGCGGCGCGGGGAAGAAGACGCTCGCGCTCGCGGTGCTCCGAGAGATCTTCGGCCCGGGGGTTGAGAAGGTCAAGGTGGAGGGCAAGACGTGGAAGATCGAGCAAGGCGAGCGGAAGATCGAGGTCGAGCTCACGACGATGAGCAGCAACTACCACGTCGAGATGAACCCCTCGGACGCGGGGAACAAAGACCGGTACGTCGTCCAGGAGGTGATCAAAGAGATGGCCAAGTCGCGGCCCATCGACGCCGCGGGGAACCAAGGCTTCAAAGGCGCGTTCTATCTCACACTGGTTCCCATACGACCGCGTCGGCGTGGTGAACGCCGATCCTTAAGGACTTTTCCCGTCGTCTCTCTCCGCCCAGGGTCCCTCGCTCACAATCCCCGCCCTCGACGCCTTTCAACTTCAACTGACGCCTTTGAACTCCACCCCGACGTCGCTTCGTACGGAACGACCCAAAGTTTTGCTCCTCAACGAGGTCGACAACCTGTCGAAAGAGGCGCAGCACGGGCTGAGGCGAACGATGGAGAAGTACTCGCAGGCGTGCCGGCTCGTGCTCGTGTGCAACAGCGTCTCGAAGGTGTTGGACGCGGTGCGGAGTCGGTGTCTTCCCATCCGCGTCGCCGCGCCGTCGACGACGGAGGTGGAGGCGTTGCTGCACGACGTCGCGAAGAGAGAGAAGCTGACGCTTCCGCCCGAGCTCGCCGGACGCGTCGCCGCGCACTCCGAGCGTAACATGCGCCGCGCGCTGCTGTCGTTGGAAGCGTGTCGCGCGCATCAGTACCCGTTCACGCCGGACCAGGTCGTGCAGGGGACGGACTGGGAGGCGTACGTCGCGCAGATCGCGAACGAGATCTTACAGGAGCAGTCGCCGAAGCGTCTGCTTCAGGTGCGTTCATTTTTTTACGAACGTTTTTCACCCATCGCCCGGTTTCAACATTTGATCGCATCCCCTTTCAACTGACCCGTGAATACCATTTTTTTGTATGGAATGGATTTGCCCTCTTCAGATCCGAGGACGGCTGTACGAGCTCCTCGTGAACTGCATCCCGCCGGAGTTGATCATGAAGAAGCTCGCGAGGGAGCTGTGCCGGAAGATCGACGTGGAGCTGAAGCACGAGGTGGCGAAGCACGCGGCGTTTTTCGAGCGCAGGCTCGCGGAGGGTTCGAAGGCGATCATCCACATGGAGGCGTTCATCGCGAAGTTCATGGCCGTCTACAAGAAGTACATCATCGCGTCGTTCGGGTGAGACGCGGTGAGGCGAGGCGAGGCGAGGCGAGGCGAGGCGAGGCGAGGCGCGTCGGCGGCGTGGCGCGGGGGCGACGAGAGAGCGCGCGGCGCGCGGGGTTGGGTTGGTTCGCGGGTAGCGAGCGTCGAATCGAAAAACATCGAAACGAACGAAACGTTTTTTTTCGGCAGTCGTCGCCCTCCTACCCTCTTCTTCGAACGAAACGCGTCTTCATCACTCGGCGTCTCGCGCGCCGCCGCCGTCGCGATGGCGGAGGTTTACCTGCACGACGCCGCACGGAACGGCGACGTCGAGGCGATCAACAAGGCTGTCGCCGCGGGGCAGGACGTGAACGCGCGGGACGCGCACAAGCGCACGCCGCTGCATCTCGCCGCGCACGCGGGACAGGTCCGTCGTCGCTCGCGCTTCTTCGCGCCCGCTCCCTCGCTCCTCTCTCGCTCGCGTCGCGGTCCCGTCCCGTCGCCGCCCGTCCTCGCCGACCTCTTCCCCCCCCTCTCCCTCCTCGCCCCGCCCTCCGCAGATGGACGCCGCGAAGTTCCTCGTCGCCTCCGGCGCGAAGCTCCACCTCGAGGCGACCGACGGCGTCAACGCGCTGCACTTCGCGTGCATACGAGGACACCACGATCTCGCGCGCGAGCTCGTCAACCTCGGCGCGAACGCCAAGGCGGTCACGTACAAGGGCGAGAACGCGCTGCACTTCGCCGCGCGGACGGGGGACGTGAAGCTGATATCGATGCTCCTCCGGAAGCAGGTCAGCGCGCTGACGAGGAGCAAGCGAGGGAAGCGGCCGCGGGAGGTGGCGAAGGGCGAGGACGCGATCGCGGCGCTGAGGTGCGTTCATATTTACACTGGTCCCCATACGACCGCGTTCGCGTGGTGCACGCCGTTCCTTAAGGACTTCTTTACTTCCCGGCGTGTGTTGTGTTTCTCTCCGCCCATCACCACTCGCTTTCAATCCCGACACACCTCGGCGCCTTTCAACTCCACTTCTGACGCCTTTCGACTCCGCCCCGACAGCGCCGCGGAGGCCAAGGCGGAGGAGGCGGCGCGACGCACCGCGGAGGGTCTCAGAGCGAAGGGGGGGGAGACGACGAGCGACGGCGACGGCGAGGGCGACGGCGAGGAAGGAGGGGATGGGGGGGAGATAGGGTCGGCGATAGGGCCGGCGATAGGGCCGCCGGGACGGCCGATGCCGCCTCCGGAGGAGGAGGACGACGACGACGACGACGCCGCCGCGCCGTCGATCGGACCGTCCATCGGTCCGTCCATGCCGCCGCCGCGCCACCTTCGCGAGAAGCGCGAGATCGCGGAGGTGGAGGACGCGCCCGCGGACGCCCTCGCCGCGGCGGCGGCGGCGCCGGTCTCGAAGAAGGCGAAGAAGGCGAACGGGAAGCCCGTCCTCAGCTTCGGCGACGACGACCCCTGACGAGTTCGTTCAACATTCATCCGTCGAGCAGGAGAGAGAGGTAGGAGAGAGAAGAGAAAACGAAATTCATCAAGCATTTCTGAGTGCTCTTCTGTGTTACAACGACCGAATTTGATGATAGTCTACGTACATGAAATCGAACGAACGAATCGTCGATCACTCCGACCCCTGCCCCGCGGTCGCCCCGACGTCGTACCCGCCGAACCGAAACGCGCGAAGGTAATCGATCACGACGCCCTCGAGCTTCGCCGGGACGATGCCGAGCTCCTTAAACCCCTCCGATTTCGGATCCTTCAGGTAATCCTCGCCCTGCGCGTCGATGTACGACCGCGTCAGCCCCGTCGGCGTCGGCAGCGGGAACGGCACGCGGTTCAGCAGAAACTCGTGCGGCGCGGCGAGCATCTTGAGAATAAAGCTCGGCACGTAGACGATCCTCGACGCGTTTTGCGCGCGAATGATGCTCTGCGTCATCTTCAGCATGTCCTCCATCGTCAAAATCTTTTCGCCGCACAGCTCGAACGTCCTCCCCGCGGTGCTCTCGTCGTGCACGATCGCTCGGATCGCGAGCGCGACGTCGTCGACGTACACCGGCTGATGTTTGCTCCCGCCGTCGTCGATCAGCGTCTGCACCGGGAACTTGCACGTGTGCTCCGCGAAGACGTTGAGCAGTCGGTCCTATACGAGCGATGATATCGGGGCGGAGTTGAAAGGCGTCAGAAGCGGAGTTGAAAGGCATCGAGGGCGGGGATTGAAACCGAGGCGTGGGAGGAGAGATGCGTCGAGCAAAGTCCTTAAGGATCGGCGTTCACCACGCCAACGCGGTCGTATGGGGACCAGTGTGAGATAGAACGCGCCTCCGTGCCGATCAACTTGGCGGGCTTGACGACGGTGGCGTTCGGAAACGCCGCGCGCACCGCCTCGTCCCCCTCCGCTTTCGTGCGGTAGTACTTCGACGGGTGGTCCAACGTGGCACCGAGCGCGCTGACGTGGACCAATCGCTCCACGCCGAGCTCTTTGCAGATCCGCGCGAGTCGCTCCGGGAAGTCGCGGTGGACGTCGTCGAAGGAGAAATTCCGCGTCTCCCACTCGCGGCCGAGGAGGTTCACGACGACGTTGGACCGCTCGACCGCGTACTTGATCGCGGAATCGTCCCGGATCTTCAACCCGGCGAGATCCACGATCTGACCGAGGTCGCCCATGACTTTCAGGTGCTGCTTCGCGTTGTCGCCGCACCGCGTCGGGAGAATCATCCGCGATCCGCTCTTGCCGAGGTGGTTCACGACGTACCGTCCGAGGTACCCCGTCGCGCCGAACACCGTGGACGTGATCCCGCTGCGCGACGTCGCGATCGGGTTTAGGGTTCGAGGGTTAGGGTTGAGGGGACGACGCGACGCGCGGCGGGCGCGCGGGATGGACGGCAGATGGGACGCGGCGGCGGTGGGGGGAGGGGGGGGGAGGGCGCGAGGGATCGATCGATCCGTTTAGGGTAAGAACGCGCGCCACCAGACCGCGCGGCGGGCGGACGATCGATGACCCCGATCGCGCGGGGACGGACCTGATGGAGGAGCGTCCGCCCGTGCCTCTGCTCTCGTACGTCACCGGGAGTCCACACCCGGACATCTCCCGCGCGAAGATCTGCGCGACGGGGGAGAGCGACGAGGGGAAGGTCAGGACGGGGGCTAAAGCGCGGAGGCGCGCGTCTCTTCGGCGAGGACGACGGACGCGAGGGACGGATGGCTCTTCGAGGCGCGGAGCGCGCGCGACGCGCCTTGTTCGGATCGAATCCGTCGCGGACGGACGCCGCGACCGCGGCCGCGGGCGCGGTCGGCACCGCGCGCGCGAGGCGTCGCGTCGACAGCATCTCGCCGCGCGAGTCGAGTCTGGAGCCGCCGTCCGACGCGACGCGCGAGGTTTTCGACGCAACCCTGCGGCCCTGCCCTCTTCTGGCTCGCGCTCGCGTCTGGTCGTATGAAACCGCAACCGTTATGCTGATGACGAGACCTCGCGCGCGCGCGCCAGTTCCCCCCCGCGCCCCCCCCTCCGCGCGCGGGGCTCCTCCTCCTCCGCGCGATGCCGTCGCACGCGGAGAACATCAGGCGCCTGACCGCGCTCGCGAACGACGGGAACAGGATCGCCGCGCACGCGCTCGCGCGCCATCACCTCGACGGCACCGGCGGCCTCGAGGTGGACCACGCCAAGGGATGGGCGATGCTGGAACACGCGTCGGATCTGGGCAACGCGCGCGCGAGCAAGGAGCTGTGCACGCCGCGGGGACTGAAATACAAGCAGGCGAGGGCGACGGGGAGCAGGAAAGCGCTCGACGCGTTCGTGAGGGAGTGCGAGGCGGAGGACCGGACGCCGAGGTCGCCCGAGGGCGCGCGCGACGAAGAAGAAGACGAGAAGCGATGGTGGCGCGGCGCGTCGCTGAAGAAGCGCGATCCCGCCCCTCCATCGCGCGCGTCGTCCGTTCTCGCGTCGTCCAGGGCGACCACGCCCGGGTCGTCGGAAGCCGACGCGGACGCCCTCGCCGGTCGTCTGCGTCGCGCGGGGTTGACGGACTACAACGCGATGGCGAGCGGCGGCGGCGGCGGTCCGAAGTCGACAATATTTAAGATGAACGCGTCCGCGGCGTCCGCGGCGCCGTCGACGACGTCGCGCGGCAAAAACGACGCGCGCCGCGAGAAGGAGCTCACGAAGCGCGCGCGCGCGGGCGACGCGGACGCCGCATGGGAGCTGTCCGACGTCTTCTTGAAGAACGCGACGTTTGAGGGCGCCGCCGAGGGCGTCGACGTCGCGTCCGGGTGGCTGTGGATCGACACCGCCGCGGGGTTGGGGCACCGCGCGGCGGCGGCGGCGATGAAAACGCGAATCGGACAGCTGTACAAAGACGGCCCCACGGCGCTGTTTCTCAAGGTGGCGCCGCGCGGGGAGAAACGGTTCGACTGGAGCGTGGGCGAATGCCACGAGCGAGGCGAGGGCGGGGTGAAGACGCCGTCGATGCGAGACGCGCAGCCGCACTACAGAAGAGGCGCCGACGCGGCGACGCCGGAGGAATGGCATCAGCTCGCGAAACGCTGCGCGGACGGTGGTCACCACGCGGACGCGCTGCGGTGGTACACGAAAGTCGCGCGCGCGTCGACGCCCGGGAACGTCCTGCCCATCTCCGTCGACGCCGCGTACAGAGTCGCGATGTGCCACGAGAAAGGGACGGGGGTCGCGGCGAACCACGAAACCGCCGTCGCGTGGTATCGCGCCGCCGCGGACGGCGCGCACGTCGAAGCCGCGTCGCGCCTCGGGATCCTTCTGTTCGACAAGTCGAAGGCGTACGGCGAGGCGGTGAGGTGGCTGGAGATGGCGGCGACGCGCGGCGACGCCGTCGCGGGGTTGAAGCTCGGGTTGGCGTACGCGACGGGAAAGGGCGTCGAGAAGGATCCGCGCGCAGCGGCGAAGGCGCGTTCTATCTCACACTGGTCCCCATACGACCGCGTTCGCGTGGTGAACGCCGATCCTTAAGGACTTTCGCCGGCGCATCTCTGCGCCCACCCCTCGCGTTCAATCCCCACCCTCGACGCCTTTCAACTCCGCTTCTGACGCCTTTCAACTCCACCCCGACGTTCGCTCGTATGGACCCTCGACCCTGAAGTGGTACCAAAAAGCCGAGGAAGAACACCAACACGCGCGGAAGGGCGTGATCAAGGAGGGCAGGAAGCACATCAAGGAGGTCAAGGCGGAGCGCGCGAAGCTCAAGGCGGGGAAGCGATGGTGAGACGAGCGGAGCGACGCGCGCGCGCGCGGTGCCCTTACCCTTAGACTACTGTAGACTACCTTTAGTTACCACTCCGACGCGCGTCCGTCGTCGCGAGGAGAGAGCGCTCGCGTTCGCGTTCGCGTTCGCTCGAGCGCCGCGGCGGCTTCCCTCGCCGGCTCCACCGGCCGCAACCCGATCGCTTTCAACCGCGCGATCGGCGCGCACTTCATCGCGACGGACCGCCCGCCGCCCACGCCCACGTCCCGCGTCGCCGGGCTCGCCGCGTTGCACGCGCTGAACGTCGTTCCATACAAAGCGATGGCGGGGTGGAGTTGAAAGGCGTCAGATGGAGTTGAAAGGCATCGAGGTCGGGGATTGAAAGCGAGGGATGGGCGGAGAGAATCGCCGGGCAAAGTCCTTAAGGAACGGCGTTCACCACGCCAACGCGGTCGTATGGGAACCAGTGTATAGAACGCACCTGAACGTCCCCTCCCCGCGCGGGAGCTCCGCGTCGTGCCACCGCGGCGCGAGCGACACCGTGAACACCTGCTCCCCCAACGTCTGCGCGTGCCCGACGGCGGCCAAAACGCACGCGCCCTCGCGCTCGCCGACGCTCAGCGCGGCGTAGCCTCGAAGCGCGTGCGCGTGGAAGCGAAATTCGTCGTCGTCGCCGGCGGCGCGGTCGAGACGCGCGACGACGCGCCCGTGTTTCCTCGCGAGCGCGACGGCGGCGCGTTTCAACGACGGAGGAAATAAGCCGATCCCCGCGGCGCCGGAGAGCCACACGTCCGCGCGCGCGACGCCGTCGTCGATCGTGCACGACGCTTCGCACTCGAACCCGCACGCGTTTTTTGGCGGTAAAGTCCCAGGCGGCGGGCGGCAGCTCGCGCAGCCGATCAAATTTTCAATCTCCGGACCGCCGTCGGCGCGCGCCGCGAGCGCGCGCGACGCGCGCGACGCGTCCGTCGCACCCATCGTCCCGGCGTCGCAGCCGCACGTCCTGCATCCGTATCGAATCGTGAGCTGCTGCACGGCGACGACGCGCGCGCGGACGTCCCACGCGCGTCGATCGATGACGCCGCCCGCGAGCGCGGCGCCGTTCGTCAGCTCGCGAAGCGTCGTCCGCGTTCCGCTGTACACTGGTCCCCGTACGACCGCGTCGGCGTGGTGAACGCCGATCCTTAAGGACTTTTCGTTCCACGCGCCATCGCCCATCGTCGCGCGCGCGGGGGTCGCGACCTCGACGACGCTCTCCGCGGTGATCTTCGCGTACAGCGACAGCGACGCGCTGGCGTGCCGGTGCGCGCCGTGCACGACGACGCGCGCGCCGCGGCCGGCGCCGAGCGGCAGCGACTCGACCGGCGCGTTGACGTAGGCGTCGATCGCGTCCGCGCCGCCGCGGACGTCGCGCAGCGTCCACCGCAACGACCAGCCGCGTCCGAACGCGTCCGGGGAGTACCTCTCCGCGATCACGATCCCGGTGAAGGAAAAGTTGCGCGACGGCGGCGGCGGCCACGACTGCGCCGTGTGACGCGTCGCAAGCGTTCGCACGCGGACGCCCCCCGGAGGCGGCGGCCGCGGTTTCGTTTTCTTCGTACGATGCGCGTCCCCGTCCTCCTCCTCCCGCTCCCGCGGGGCCCACCCGCCTCTCCGGCCTTCCGTCGGGACCCAGAGCAGCATGTCCGAGACGCTCTTGATCTCGTCGCCGTCGCGGCGGCGGTCGCGGGCGCTCGGTCGACGGTCGCGCGCCTCGAAGCCGGGGCCGGGACCCGGCCGCGGCGGCGGCGGCGGCGACGACGCGACGATAACGGACGCGAGGTTGACGCGGAGGTAACACCGCGGCTCGCGCAGCCGAGGCGGGAGCGCTCTCGTCGTCGCGCCGCTCGCGTCTCCGACGGACGCCCTCGCGCCCTCGCACACGACGATCCAGTCCGTCGCGACGAACGCGGCGCCGTGCGGCGGCGGCGGCGATCCGGACGCGCCGTCGCCGTCTTCGAACAGGACGTCCATCTCCGCGGTGTCGTCGTGCGCGGTGACGCGCCGCGCGCGTCCGTCGCCGCCGACGCCCGCGTCCGCGACGCGCGCCCACGCGAACAGCGCGGCCCCCGCGGCGCGGCGGCACACGTCGCGCGCGCGCAGGACGATCCTGTCGACGTCCACGGCGCCGACGCCGGCGCCGAACGGGATGTTTCCGTTTCCGTTTTCGTCATCGCGCGCTTCCTCGGCGGCGCGCGCGAACGCGGCGATCGCGCGCTCGCGGACGCGGCGCATCGTCGGCAGCGACGGCGCGCGGCGCTCGTCCCCGCCCAACCCGGACGGCGTGAAGAATTCGCGATACAGCGTGTCGCGTTTAACGACGAGCGCGGCCGCCGCCTCCGCGTCGTCGTCGTCGTCGCCGCCGCCGCCGCCGAGGAGCGCGCGCAACGCGCCGTCCAGATCGAACCCACCGCCGTCGCCGTTCCCCGCGAACTCGTCGACGCCGCTCAGGCTCGACCGGCGGCGTTTCCTCCCGAGAAGGAGTCGCTCCGCGCGCTTCCTTCCCTCCGCCGAATTCCAGACGTCGAATTTCTCGCCGAGCGCGACGGCGAGTTCGCGGACGCGCGCGGCGGCGACGAACCCGGACTCCTCGCACGCGCGTCTCAGCGCGTCGCCGCTCGCCCACGCGTCGGCGTCGTCGCGGTCGGATGCCGCGGTCGATGGAAACAACGCGGGGCACCCGTCGGCGTACGGCGACGGCGACGCGATCGTGATTTTCGTGCGCACGCACGCGCCGACGGCGCGTAAGCCGCCCGACGCGTCGTCGTCGTCGTCGTCGCCTTCGTCGTCGTCGTCGCGACGCCACACCGGGTGCGCGTGCGTGAGGACGATCTTCGATCCAACGCGGAGCGCGGGGACGAGCGACCCGCGCGCGCGTCGCGTCAGCGTCGCGTGCGTCATGATGAGCGGCACGCCGCCGCCGCCGCCGCCGCCGCCGCCGCCGCCGCCGCGTCCATTCAAAATCACGCCGAACCCGATCGGATCCACGCCGGTGACCATCGCCTCGTACCTCGCCAACGTGTCCCCCCTGACACACGCGTCGCACGGACATTCAGCCGCGTCAGCAGCACGCGAATCCGCGTCGATCGCGGCGGTTAGGGTCCACGCCCCCGGGGTCGCCGTCGTCGCCGCCGTCGCCGCCGCCAGCCGAATCTCGCGTTCGCTCCCTTCGCCCTTCATCAGCGTCGACTTCCGCAAGTTATCCACGACGACGCACCCGCCCGCGCACGTCATCGAGGCCGAGTCCGAGACGGCGTCCCCCGCGTCCGCGCCCTCTCCCGCGCGCGATCGATCGCCCCCGACGAAGAACGGCCGCCACCGCGCGGCGGCTTCCCCGGAGAAAATAATCCGCCGCGAAAACGCGGGCGCGTCGTCGCCGCCTTCGCCGCCTTCGCCTTCGCCGCCGCCGCCGCCGCGCCCCGGCTCCGCGCCGCACCGCGCGCACTTCCCGAGCTCGAGAAGGAAAAACCGCGACGGCGGGTCCGCCAGCGACACCACCGGCGACACCGCGACGACGGCGCCGCGGACGGTGATCCCCCCGCCCTTCTTCGGCGGCGGCGGCGCGCGCGACGCCGCGTCCGCCGGCTCCGGGAGCGGCGTCGCGGTACCGCGCGTCTCGTCGTCGAGCGCGATCAGCCCCGCCGTCTCGAGGTACGCCGTCCCGGACTCGCCGCCGCATCGAACGAGCGACCACGACGTCGCGAGCACGCGGCGGTTCAGAAGCCGCGCGTCCGGCGTCGACGTCGCGACGAAGACGGGCACGGCGCCGGTGGCGTCCTCCAGGAGCAACGCGTCCGCCAGCTGCGCGTCGTCGTCGCAGCGGTTCGCGTTCAGCGGGACGCAGGGCGCGAGGCGCAGGCGGCCGACGATCGCGCGCGGGACGACGCGCGCGACGCGTCTTCTCCCCGCGTTCGTCGCGAGGTCCCGACGCGACGCGTCGGCGTCGGCGGCGGAATGGGGGTCGGGATCGGCGGCGAGACGGCTGGACGCCCAGAGCCGCGTCAGGTCCGAGACGACCGCCGTCGTCGTCCGTCGCAGCTCCGCGACGGAGAGGAGGCTCGAGCGCAGCGGCAGCGTCGGCAGCGGCGTCGTCGTCGTCGTCGTCGTCGTCGTCGTCCTCGCCCCGCTCGTCGGCGTCGCGTCGAATCGCAGGCGCGCGCGCGTCAGCGCGCGGACGAAGCGCGTCGCGAACGACGGCGACGTCGAGGCGGGGGTGCCCGCATTATTCTCGACGTCGTCGTCGTTCGCGACGCGCTTCGTCCGCGCGCTGACGCGCGCGCGCCTGCGATTCGACGCGACGCCGACGAGCGGGGCGAGGACGACGACGACGACGACGACGACGACGACGCCGCTGCCGACGCTGCCGCTGCGCTCGAGCCTCCTCTCCGTCGCGGAGCTGCGACGGACGACGACGGCGGTCGTCTCGGACCTGACGCGGCTCTGGGCGTCCAGCCGTCTCGCCGCCGATCCCGACCCCCATTCCGCCGCCGACGCCGACGCGTCGCGTCGGGACCTCGCGACGAACG